ATACATTACTGTATTTGGATGAGTAGCAATCCAAGGCATTCACTTTTAGGCATAAATTTGTTCACCTTGAGAGCCTTCAGTGGTTTTAGGTCGGTCTTTGCAGAAGGAAATGCGAATCTGGATGCTTAGTTCTTTGTCCTTCTCAACAGCTTGCTGAGTGTCTGGGCCAGCTCTCAGATGCTGGTATGTATTTGAATGAAGTACAAATATATATTTGAATAAAAATTTGAAGAATGTTTTGCTAGGTCAAGCTACTTTTCAGATAACACCTTGCAACAGCCAATAGTAAATGTTGAGGTAAGCACATTAAAATAAATATATAATTATAATTTTCCAGTATAATCCCCCCAGTTTTATCGGTGTCTGGTTCAGGAACATAGTGATCCAAATGTGGTATCATTCTGTTTAAGAGGTGTTTGTGGATTTCTCATTTACAGGTTTTTGTAATCTATTCCAAACCTGTGTAAGCTTCTAGTACTGACAACACGCAGTTTGTGCAGTGTCAATAATATAAGTGTATGTATGATCTCCTAAGGCACAATCTTGTTTAAAATGAGAACTTCTGTATTTCATATTTCTCAAAGAGAAAATCAGCACGTTTTCAGTGATTGCTTACATCCTTATCACAGAATCATAGTATCATAGTATCATAGAATGGCCTGGGTTGAAAAGGACCTCAAAGTTCTGTGGGCAGGGTCACCAACCTCTAGACCAGGCTGCCCCGAGTTCAGCCTGGCCTTGAATGCCTCCAAGGATGGGGCATCTACAACCTCTCTGGTCAGCCCATTCTTTGCTGGAATCCAGGATGTTTCTATGTTCTTCCTTGAGATAAGAACCACAAATCCAATCCTATCCATGTAAATTGAAATTTATATTGATTTTAATGCCAGTAATGTGTTGCCATTGTCCATTACCCTCCTTGTTCCTCAGTTCAATCTGGGGACAGGAGAAAAATAGTGAGTGACGTGTGACTTCCTAGGACCAAGTAATGTTGGCAACTTGAGTGAAGAGTTGACTGTCTACCTCTACTTTACACACAGAACATCAGCACCTCATTTGCAGAAAATCTTATATCTAAATGTTTCCCAGCTTCTATAAATAAAACAGAATCTCATAAATGGAGGCTTTGTTGGCAATGCAGCAAAGAAGTTCAGATTGTAGTTTAGGGTTAGCAAAGGCTAAACCACAGGAGATTGTCCCTTTGTTCTTTTGGATCTAGCAACTGGTATCTTGACACCACCTTGGCAAAAAGGGCAGGTATAAAGACCTGGTAAAATTACAGCAGCCTGCTATAAAATTACAGATTACACCCTGTATCCTGCAAAGCAAAGCAGCATATTGAGTGTGGCATCCCCAATCACACTTTGTGTCTCAGGAACTGTCCTCTCAATACTCTTTTCTCTCAGCCTGAGGAGCAGGGTCTTTGGAGGGCACTGTGGCTTGTTGCCTCAGCATCTTCCAAAGGATTTCCCCTGACAAAAATCAGAGATTCAAAGTTCCATTTCCATTTCTTTTAAATTTCTTCTGTGCTTTGTTATCCCAGCACAGAGTGTCAAATTAAGATTTCATTCACAGACATTTATTTTAATCTTTAAAGCTATTCATTTTTTACCTTTACATATGATGAATAAATACACACTGAGGTTCTGAATGTTTCATTCAAGAATTAAATCAAAAGCAACTTGACTAAGGCCCATAAACGCAAAAGACACATCAAACTCATGTTTAGAGGAAGAAAACCTGGATACTTATACATTTTAGATGAAAAAAAAAATACCCACAAGATCTTATTATTCCCAGCTCTATGGTTTAACCAGAAACCCATCTTCTCTGTTTTCTCTCTGTGACTGAGCATGAGACAAGGTCAAGAACAAATAGGTTGGTCCAGCTGCCCCTCACAAACACTGTGCTGTGGTTTAACTTGGCAGGCAGCTGAACACCACACAGCCCTTCACTAACTCACTCCCCTGCTCCCTGTGGGATGGAGGAGAGAATCAGGAAAAAAAGTAGAAGTCATAGCTTGAGATAAAAACTATTTATTTAGACAGGAAAGGAAGAGAGAAATAACAGTAATGATTATATATATGTGTGTATATATATCTTTACAAAAGAAGTGATCCGCAGTGCAGTTGCTTACCACCAGCTGACTGATGCCCAGCCAGCCCCTGAGCTGCAGCTGCCCCCTCAGTTTTACTGTTTTTTCACACGATGTCATAAGGTATGGAACAGCCCTTTGGCCAATTTAGGTCATTTGTCCCGATTCTGCCCCCTCCCAGCTCCTTGTGCCCCCTCACTGGCAGGACAATACAATAAACTGGTACTGGCTCTGCACAGTACTGCTCAACAACAGCTAACACACTGGTGTGTTATCAACATTGTTTTTCTCCTAAAGCCATAACCACAATAGCATCATAGCGGACACTGTAAGGAAGATCAACTCTGGCCCAGCTGAAACCAGGACACAGTGGAGCACTAGCTACCATTATTCTTAACCTTATGGGCCTCTGGGAGTATACAGAATGTAAAAGGAAACAAGTCACAGTCTCATGCAGAAAACCTGGCTTTGAAGGAGGGTAGAAGGGAACAAAAAGCATTTAATGATTTAATGATATCCTGGATGCCTCCCTGACGTACATAGAAAGATAACCATAGAACAGCTGAAACATGATCCCACAACTGAGCTGTCTTGCACTATGAATAAATCAACAGTCTTTGGAAACATGTTCAACAGCCTCCTGAAAGCGGAGGAGAACATAAAGGATTTTTTTTGCTTCATAAAACAACACCTCGAGCAGTAGAACTCAGACTATTTTGTGTACCAGCTGAAGAGGTGGTCAGCATCACAAGAGCCACGCTGATTCTCGAGATGATTAAAAGTTCAAGCATCAGTATTGTAGATTTACATATAAAACCACAAGACTTTTGTGAAGGCTTTCTTATGAATACCATACAAATTTAAATTACACATTAGGAACTTAAATACATTATTTAAACAGAGGTACCTGCTCTCATATTCCAAAAGAAAAATGGTTGTCAAGTTGTTAACTCTAAAACCGTTTCCTCCTAGTTGGTCTCTGTACTCTCAGCTGGTCACTGAGTGTTTACACAGCAAGGCTTTATACCATGCACGGTGAGATTTTGCCAGGGAAAGTAGTGGAGTTCACTGCAGGAAAGTGCTGCATGTGCTTGTCCCCGTACATTCCTATAGAAACACACACTTTTTTTCTGACACTCCTCATTCCTCAATTGCTCCCTTCCCCAAATGAAATTTAATTTTCTTCCTCCACTTTGTCACCCGTGAAACAGAAAGAGGCAGTCCCAAGACCACGGGTGATCACTGTCTATGAGTGGGCTGTGAAGGGACTGCGGTAGCACAATATGTGAATGGCAGAGGAGACAAGCTGTATGAACTCCTAAGGTCTCCTGGCATTTATAAAGACTTTCCGTAAGATTTACTGGGTCTGTAAGAGTGTAATGCACCAAAAAAAGTGAACCTTGCCCCTTTTTTTCTTGCTCATTGAAGCTATTGCTCCTTGTCCATCAGGCCTCCATGAGGAGTTTAAAAAGTGGTGGGACGCTCTCACGCCCAAACCCTGCGCACTTAGCATATGAATGCTCCAGCGATTGTTTGAAGTAACAATTAGGAGGACAATGGATAAAGGAAGAAACTGGAGACAGCAACTAACACCTGTGAATCAGAACTTAAACAGCTTTCTTTTACATAATTAATTAAAGATGCAAGCACAATGCACATTGACTTGAAAACATATTCCAAAGATAATGCCCGTTGCACATGAGGCCCTTTGCCTCTGCTTTCGGTTCTGCTACTCACGTGGGAGGATTGTTCTTTTTGTAGAAATCTTAGTCATGACTGAATGTTGCTAAGTGTTACAAGGGTGTTTTTTGATGGGGAGGAAGAAAGTGAAGAGAAAAACATTGAAAAGGAATTCCAATTTCATGGAGGTTGCAGATGAATTTATTGAAATACACGGACTTCAGATAGGTAGCAGAAAACCATTCTAAAACACAGAAGAGTGCTAACCTTACAAATAGCAATTGGGATTTAATGTACTATAAGCAGTGCTACAGACTTGTTCCTATTAAAGAAAAATAAATGGATGTTATACTTCTGTTTCATGAAATTGTATTTATTGCAGAATGTGAGCAGAATTCCATGGCATTTTCTCAAGGAGACAATCCATATGTGTGCTCAATGTGTTCATATGCAATTATTTCTTAAATAGGTTATATTGTGCCTTTTCAGAGCAGTATTTAATGAAACTTGTAAAGATATTATTACTCTAGAAATTACCAAAGAAATTGCAATTTGCATATAATAATAAGTATTATGGGGCACATTCTTCTATGCACATGCATCAGCAGTGTTGCTAGAATTATTCCAGCAAAGAGCACAATGGTGAAGGTTATTCAGTAGTCAGAAAAAAAATCAATTTATACAGTCAATCTCTCTAGAAAAAAACAATGTTATAAAAAGTATCTAATATCTAGCTTTTCTCAGCAGGGTTTATGGAGATACACATGCATTAGTTATAATGGTGATGCTAGTCCGCAGAGAAATTTTTGAATACTTCTTCATTATCTTTAAATGGCATCAGTAATATAAAGATAGAGAAAAACTGTGAAGTCTAACTATACTGAAGTTCAGCTTTCCTTGACTTTCAAGTAATTTAGACTGGTTCTTTCTGAAGGGCATCACAGATGATGTCAAGTGTAAAGCTATAAGTTTAGAAATGAATAACAAAAGACTCAGATAAACTGAAAAAACACATTGTTTTGTTTGTGACCTTTATGTGATACATAAAGGTATTTGTATTCCAGTCAACCAGTTCTTAGCGTTTAAAGCTCAAAATAAGGACTAAGTAAATCATATAGCAGTAATTCCCACAGTGGTTATCTTCTTGGAGTTGAGAGGGTCATCTGTATTTCATGTTCCTACTAGCCTCTATTTTTAATATTGTAAATTCATTGCTATTTTGCAGATTTGGTATACGGATATTACAGACAGCAGCGGAAGTTGACTGAAGAAGTTGATTGGTCATATACAGGTAAACAAAACTTTCTTACCAAAGAACTTACTTTGCTTTCATATCTTCACATTCATTCTTATAACTTCAAGAGCCTGTTTTCTGTATCTACCACCTACCATGTGCCACAACAATTCTTGAAGTAAAAATGTAGAAAATGGATTCTCAAAAATTACAGCACCTTTACAGCAGGAGAGACTATGCTTCCTATGTCTTTGACTTCTGCAAAAAGCCTTAAAACCTTAAACTTGACACTTCGATGAAAGCTGGGCCTTCATTGTTCTCTTTTGTCATCTGAATACTTCTATTCCGGTAAGTCTGAAAAGCACACAGAAAGGCTGAAACAATGTGCAGCACATCTTGTGGATAAGAATATACCCATATATTGCATATGAACTTCTGTGCTTTGCTTCTGACTACTTGAGCATCCTTCCAGGTACCATGCTACTTATCCTAAAAAGTCAGTCATTAGGCAATAAAATCTCATTTGCGTGAGTAAGAAATTTATATCCTTAAATTCTGAATGAGTGTTTTTTACATGGAAGAGCTATAGGAAATTCGCAATTACCCTCCTAGATTCTTCTGTATAAGTCAAGCCACTTCCAGTAATATTGGAAAGCTAATTTTTTTTCCTAAATGATATGTGTATTTTACCCAGAACATAAAAATTGTCTTCCAGTGAATGTGTTTAGGCTCTTACATTTTTAATGATTTCAGTTATTGTTTAAATAAGGACTGCCAGATTTCAGTGTTTCTTATGTTTGGTTCAAAATATGTTTTTGTACCTAAAGAAAATTATGCCATTCTTTTTTTTTCTTTCACTCTCTTTCTCATTTTTGGGACAGTTTTTATCTTCCAGGGTAAAACATATCTAACAAGTTTTGAGCCTAGAGAGAATTGAAACAAGCTAGTCATAAACCCTTCAAAATGAGATTTATAATGAGAACTCCCACTTACACACATTGTACGGCAAAACTCAAGCATAAAATCAATCATACAATATTCTGTGTCCAAAATCCATCCGTTTTTTAATATTGCAGTTGGAGAAGTGCAGAGATAAGCCTCCAGGATTACAGGTGACCAGAGGGCAATTTATGAGTTTACTTTAAAGAACACTGAATTAATTTTACATAGGACATCAGGGAAGGCTAACTCAGCCCACTCAGAATATGCACCCACTGTACAGCTGCAGCAACAGCCTCAGATTATATTTGCTGGGTATTCTGTATTGCTGGATGGCAAAACAGCATAGACTCTGCAAGCTGGAGAACTCAGACCTGTTGGCTCACTCCTGTAATGTGTGAGATACCAGCATGCAGTCATCTCATTTTGCGTGCCTCTCCCTAGTGACTTACTGCTGGCAAAGCCTTTCTCTTTAACCAGACATATATACTCAGGTGCATATGGTGCTTGGGGACATAAAATGTGAGAGCCCTGCTTCAGCACTTTTCATGAAGACAGCTCCAGTTATAGAATCATAGAATCATAGAATGGCTTGGGTTAAAAGGGCCCCAAAGATCATCTGGTTTCTACCCCCCGCCATGTCCAGGGTTGCCAACCACCAGACCAGACTGCCCAGAGCCACATCCAACCTTGCCTTGAGTGCTTCCAGGGATGGGGCATCCACAACCTCTCTGGGCAGTCTGTTCCGGTGTATCACTACCCCCTGAGTGAAAAACTTCCTCCTAATATCTGATCTAAATTTCCTGTCTTAATTTAAAACCATTCCCCTTTGTCCAGTCACTATCCATCCATGTAAACAGTCATTCCCCTTCCTGATTATATGCTCCCTTCAAGTACTGGAAGGCCAATCCTTGTCATGACAGGACAAGGGTTTTCAAAGCCTTATTGCAGGGCTGCATATAAGTCACGTACCCAGTGCCTAGGCATTGGTTTATGTGGTGTTTTCCTAAAATACCATGGAATTGATTTATGACATAAAATGAGTACACAAATTCAACTTTCACTTAAAAACAGTCTTCTTGAATTTGAAGATAAGATACAACATTTAACATAACTGTGCATCACTGCTCAGCACACAAGTGCAAACAGTGTCAAGTACTCATATGTATAAATTTAATATTTTCTTCAATATATTCAGAATCCAGACTAGCATACTGAGAGTTGCCTAGAACCACCTGAGATGCCTGTGAGTATCTGAGGCACATGGCAGGGCTTCATGATTTATTGGGCAGTGTTGGTGGTGGGTGGACCAGATAATCCTGGAGGTTCCTTTCCAACCTTAATGGTCCTATGATTCTATGATAACTTCTACAGCTAACTCAGATCTGCAGTTTTGAGACATAAGGTAATACACACATTTCTGAATAGATGACCTATACTTTGTCAGTTCATCGCTTCTGTGGACACGAGTTACATTTCTCTATCTTATAGCCCACTCACTGAAAAACCTAAAAGATTAGCCTCCATGTACCAGTGAAATTTTATGAGTGGGCCTTGGGACCATGCAGTCATGGAGTTCAATCAGCTATGACAAGGAAGCATCTACCTAGCCTGGTAAATTTATCTGAGTTTCAGCAGACTTCATTCACATCAAATAAGAAATGTCAAATGCGTTAGTTACAGTAAATCAATAAACTCCTTTTGCTGTGAGCAAAAGTAAAATAGAACTAGAGAAATAACTTGAATTTCACCTGCTGAAATCATGTTATTTTTGAAGGTGATATATCCTAATGGAGCAATTTCACATACTTTAACTTATATGACTCATCATCACGTTTTGATTCTTTGGTAAATGTCTAATGATGGCATAAATATTACTGGAAACATTTTGTATTACTTCTAAGAACTCAGGTTTGATCCACAGACAAAGCCTGCACTTTCAAGCATAATTTTTATTATTTTTTTTGTGTATGTGTTTCCTGACTTTGTGTATATTTGCACAGACAGTAGAGTATTAAAAATGTAGCCAGGGCAAGCGAACATTGTATTTGCAGCCATTTTCTTCAGGAGAAATTGATTTTGAACTAGTCTACTAGTAGACATTACTTGAACAAACTTCTTTCTGTTTTTTCATTAAAACAACAATAGAAAATATTTTTGATGACATAATGAATATTTTTAAATTGTCATATACTAAAAGTGAATTCAACCATTACTGTTATTAAAAAAAAAAACTATACTGAGAAAAGGTATTTTCTCAAATCAGTTACATAGAAGTTGATGATCAGAGATCATGTAGACATTATTTAGCTCCACCACTAAGGTTAGGCAAAAGATGCCACAAAGAAGAGTTCTTTTTTCAGTGCAATTCTTTTTGGTTGAGATTGTTACTCCTGAGATTTGAGTTCTTGTTGATTTTACAACAATCAAGTTATGTGGCCTAGGGTAAAACTTGAGCTAAATTCTATTAAAAGCAAGAAATTCTGAACAGGAATTACAAAAACTGAAGAATTTTTTTAAATTGAATTATGCAAATGAATAGCACAGCCAGCTCAGTGTTCTTTGTCTCCTCATGACTATTAAGTTCACTTTGTGCTGCCATTAGTTATATGATATAATGAGCCACAATTGCCCTGTAGACACTAGCTACTTTTTCCTTGGCAAAAGGTGATTTTAATCTAAACTGCAGTGTCTCTTGAGTATTCAAAGATAATTTTGTGATTTGCTGGTTTTGTTGGTTTTTTTTGTTTGTTTGTTTTTTGTCTTTTCCTCCGAGCAAAATGTATCTCATATTTCCCTTTTTTCTCTGGGGGTATTCTAAATCTTAGAATAAGAATTATAGAATCACAGAATCACAGAATGGCCAGGGTTGGAAGGGACCTCAAGGATCATGAATCTCCCATCCCTCTGCCACAGGCAGGGCCACCAACCTCCCCATTTAATACCAGACCAGGCTGCCCAGGGCCCCATCCAATCTGGCCTTGAACATCTCCAGGGATGGGGCATCCACAACCTCTCTGGGCAGCCTGTTCCAGTACCTCACCACTCTCTCTGTAAAGAACTTCCCCCTGACATCCAACCTAAATCTTCCCTCCCTCAACTTCAAACTATTTCCCCTTGTCCTGCAGTTATCAACCCTTTCAAAGAGTTGATTCCCCTCCTGTTTGTAGGCTCCCTTTAGGTATTGAAGGGCTGCAATGAGGTCACCCCACAGCCTTCTTTTCTCCAGGCTGAACTGTCCCTCAGTCTGTCTTCATAGGGGAGGTGCTTCAGTCCCCTGATCATCTTTGTGGCTCTCCTCTGGACCATCTCCAACAGCTCTCTGTCTTTCTTGTACTGGGGGCTCCAGACCTGGACACATTATTTGTGTTTGAAATGATTCTTGAGGATCCCATGGTCCAACTAACACTTGTTCAGACCATGCCCAAGAAGTGAGGTATTGCAACTGGGGCAATGTGCTCTACCTTTATTTTGAAGCTTTTTTTTTTCATTTATACAGCTGCAATTTCTCTTATACCAACTTGTGACCATTGCCCATAGCCCTTCACCTTTGCACTGCTTATAGATGACCTTTACGTAGCAGTTGACTTCAGCCAGGTTTCCCCTTTCCCTGTTCTCTGCACTGGTACAGACTCACCTCGAATACCATGTGCACATTTGGGCACCACAATCTAAAGATATAAAACTGTTAGAGAAAGTCCAAAGGAGGGCTACAAAGATGGGGAAGGGTCTAGAGGGCAAGTTGTATAAGGAGTGGCTGAGGCCCCTGGGTTTGTTCAGCCCAGAGCAGAGGAGCTGCAGGGAGACCTCATGGCAGCTGCTGCTCCTCGCAGGGAGCAGAGGGGCAGCTCTGCTTGCTGGTGACAGTGACAGGACACGAGGGAATGGTATGGAGATGTGTCAGGGCACGGTCAGGTGAGGATTAGAGAAAAGATTAATCACCAGTGTGTGGCCAGGCACTGGAATAGTGGTCATGGCAGCGAGCTGCTAGAGTTCAAGACGAATTTGGACAACACTTTCAGAGATATGGTCTGGTTTTTGTGGAGCAAGGAGTGGAACTCAATGATCCTTGTGGGTCCCTTCCAACATGGGACATGATATGATTCTATTCTTTGATC